TTCTTCATATATCACAACCGTTACACATACTGTAATGAAATTTGGTATACAGATTAATCAGATGAATATCTAGGTCAAGTTCTGTTCTGGATATGATCACGCTCTTTTTATTAGAGTTATGCCCATAGGACTTAGAAAATAACAACTTATTTGCAGTTTATGTTATTTTCTTCTCAGAGGGTGAACATATTGAAATGAAATCTGGTATGCAGATTTATTAGATAAATATCTAGGCCAGTTCTGTTTTGGGTACGATCGCACTATTTTTGTCAGAATTATACCCCTTTAACTTAGAAAGATTCCAATGATATGCAGTTTCTCTTCATTTTCTTTGCAAAAGTTGCACATTTAAAATGAAATTTGATATGCAGATATATTAGCTGAATATCTAGGCCAAAGTCTGTTTTGGGTACGATTGTGTCATTTTTAAGCGGTTAGCTTCGCTAACCGCTTTATGGCATGTATCGACACCGGAAACTTCCATAAGGCGCTACCTATCGACAACGGAAACTTCAACAAAGCCTCTACCTATGATTTGTTTCTGACACATATAACACATGTTGAATAAAATCAAGACTATCAAAACAACATAATCTTTCGGTTTTTAATTTTTTCTGATTTTGTTTGTCCATGAAATAAATTTATAATTGTTGTATTAAAAAAGTTTATGTATAGGAGCATTTGGTGTCGAGATTAAATTTCCGTGACGTCAGCTGATGGCGATCGGGCCCTGTCACGAAATTCGAAGTCAGCATGAAGTTTAGCTGATAATATTATCAACGCGTTGGATTTAAACTTAAGGAAGAAATATATAGCGAGAAATATCATATTTTAACCCAGTGCTACTCGAAAACCAGTAGGCATATCCGATTTATGTGTTAAATTGAAGCCTGAATCGAACAGGGGGTCAAAATGGCGTTGCACACCTTGTATATTTATACATGTATATAGAGGGGGTAGAATGTTTCGATATTTGGCTTATTTAGAGACTTACTGATAAAAATTCAGGTGCCTGTGATTAAATGTAAGGCACCCCTCATGAACAATAAATATTTGACCAAATTATGCTACTGGCACAGGGAGGACGGGTTAATTACTGGCTAAAGGGGTTGAAGGTTATTACCGATTGCAAAACATCGGAGAATCTCTCGATCGAGTTTCATTTTCCAAAATATTTAGGCATCCCTTTAATTAACTTAAGTAATACTAGTACACGAAGAAAACCTTTATATAAAAATACTGAATACATCTTTAAGTTGTACAGTTATGGATTACTTCCATAATGAAACGTTTGTTTTCTTCTCCTTTTTTTCTCAATTGAAATTATTTAAAAGATGATAAAAGCTTCGTTTCCAGGGATAAATTCTGTACTCAGTCTAATTATTACAAACGATTTTAAACGATCACATTTTTATTAAAAAAAAAAAAATAATGGGAGCCTGAAAATACTAAATTTAATTTTAAAAAATTGGATAAAAAAATTTAATCGGCATTCGATCCTTTTCTAAAAATCAGCCGATATAAAATATGCATAGAAAAAAGAGGCATGAAAAATCTTGACGATATGCACAAATTGAAAATTATATCTAATGAATGATTATTTTTGAAAGTTTGCTAAATTCCTATGCAAGGTATAAGTTGTAAAAATACTTTTTAAATTTGAATTTGTCCAATTCGTTAATTATCATTTTGAGCCTTTGAGAAAAAATAAAAATTAAAATACAGATGCTTACAGACATATTGATAGAAATTCGCATACTTGTTTTTACTAGAAAAAAAATAAAACAATGTATTGCTTATGCGACATATTGAAGAAAGTGACAATGATACCTAGGTAATTCTTGCAATGGACAGTTAAATTGTTTGTTATACACTGACTTCTAGTGAACCTTTGAATTTTTAAAATACTAGTATTGATGGATTTAACAACAACTTTCCTTTTCACACGGTTTTTTTTTTTTTTTTTTTTTTTTTTACAATATTTCATGAAAAATATTTGCCAAATACTCAGTATATGTTCGTTTATACATATCGTGCAAGACTCTTTTTTAAATAATTGTCATATACCATTTACTTATTCGAACATTTAATTATATGAAAAGTCAATAATGTACATTTCTTTATTATCTTGTTTACTTGTCTTTCTTCCTGTGAGAGAAATAGTTCATAATATTAATAAACAGATGTACTCAGTATCTGTATCAAAATACAGAATGAACAGTGATCGGTCTCAAAAGAAAAACGATCCTTGAAAGTTCCGGTGCCTAGGAGAAGTAAGCATTCCCAATGACAGGTCACACCTGCTGACCCGCAGTGAGCCTACGAAACTGAAGCTCTCTGAAATTAATTAATTCTCTGCTCGTCCATCCGTTTTTCTCAGACTAGCCAGCTAAAGATCTATGTACAGTACTCCAGATCAATTAATCTAAAGAATTTGAATTATCATTTTATTTTCTTTTTGAGTTGTTTGCTATAGTAGCCTTTACAGTTACCTAATTTCAGAATCAATAGAGCATGAAAGCCAATTAAATTTGCAACATCAACATAATTTTTTTTTTCGTTCTGAGCACTTTTGGACGCCATCAATGGAGGCAATTAGGGAGAAATTTTTGAAATTGAACTTCCTGTCTTTCAAACTGAAAATCTCAGGTTGATATTTTGAAACAAAAATTTGTGACATCAGTCTGGGATGTTATTGATTATACCATTTAGTTAAGTACTACAAAATTCAGTGTGTCTGCTTCTTCGCTGATGACACTGGAAAAAGATATGCATGCCTACTTTAATATCATGATTCAATGCATTTTTTGTTATTGTGCACTGTACATATTCGATGAAAGCATGCTAACCGCTTTTCAGTACTTTCAGTACTTTGATTAATAGAGGTATGCCTTGGACTTGAAAAAATTTCAATTTTGGGAAGGGGGCACAAGTGTTTTGAAAACATTGTTGTTCACTTTGAAATTGTTTTAAAAGGAATTTCTGTTTTAATTATCCTTGAGGAGAAAGATAAGGGAAACATATGTCCTCACGTGTTTAAATGTTAGTGTGATATCATAAGTGTTTTACAAACATCTCCTGTTCACTTTGAAATTGTTTCAAAAGGAATTTCTTTTTTTATTATCCTTGAGGAGAAAGATAAGGGAAACGTATGTCCGCACGTGTTTAACTGTTAGTGTGACATCACTATATGTGTTATACGGAGACTGATTTCAGTTGTTTTCTTTTTTTCTTTTGTAAATGATAACGAAGGCTTTAGAACTAAAGGATCGAGGGGCATTTAAACTTAGATGAGCTCACTTTTGAGTTTTGTTTTCGGTCTCACTTTTCCACTACACAGTGTATTTGATTTGTCTTCTGTAAAAGTGATACTTAGACGAAAAGTGAGATTGTCTAAGTTTTAACCCCCCCCCCCTCCCTTGAGAATACAGAAAAACAGTGCATATACGAGTACATGCATCAAATGGGACAAGATGACCAAGTTGACAAACTTAAGCTTGTCGATCGTCATCATGTTTTTGGCTTTAAGCACTTTCCCCACGGAAGGTCATACATTTCAGGGTATAGAAATTCTGAAACTTGATCTTTGTTCATACTTGTAACCAAGATTCTCAGGTTTTGCAATTTTAGGTCATGCAATCAAGAAATATCCGCATCTTGTGTTACCCTGCGTTTCTTTTTCCTTTCAGTATGAATGTCTATTTTTTTCGCTTAGTGCTTTATAAAAAAGTGTTTGACATGGTTGCTATTTAATATATCCGAAACAAAGGAGAAATTGTGTTTTCTATTGCTTAGTAGTATTCACATTTGCCTATAAATCTCAAAGACAACAATACTGGGATACCATTGTTTAATACATTAAGAAGTGTAATGCTTCGTTACAATCAAAGTAATAGCAGCTGGAATTTATCCAATCCAATCAAAGAAACCGTAGGTTTATCGGTCAGATGTGTGCAATAAATTTCTCATATTGCGACTACGTTGGCTCTCCACTGAATATAATCTTTAAATTAGGGTTACAAATTGTAACTAATACTGTGAGATGAAAGTTTTATGCTTTAAGGTATGTCACTCGTGAAATTTGTTAGAGCAAGAATTTTTGGAGAAATGCATTTTGGATACACATTTAAGTACTCATATAGTATGGCTCAAAATCGCAGAGAAAAAAGGTGGTCAGTGCGCATCTTACTTAAATTTGAGATCTTTTATTAACCACTTTATCCTTTATCATATTTTTTCAGATGTAACAATGCTAAAAAATATGACCATTTTTCTAACAAAAATACTAAAGACAACTGTTGTTAACCATCTTTATAATTACATGTAACTAAAGTAAACTATAGTAAATCAAAGTTTTCAAAGAGTTCACTATAGTAGATCAAAGTTTTTAAAATGTTCACTAGTAGTGCCCAAGTGATCACTATTTGTAAATCAAAGTTTTCAAAGTGATCACTAAATTGTGATAGTTATCACTTAGTAAATCAAATTTCACCATGTTAAATCAAATGTTTCACAGTAAATCAAAATTCCATAGTTATCACCATGTTAAATCAAATTTTTCATAGTAAATCAAAGTTTTCATACTGCCAAAGAGTTCACCATTGTTAACTTTTGTAAACTATAATTAACTATAGTATTTTTGTTAGGTTTTGCACTACAAAGTAACATATATGGATTACCAAAAATCTACATATTAGGCAATTACATATTTCCTTGTATCAAACCCTTTACGACTTTAATGTTCAGTCACAATTATCAAGTAGTTTAAAATGATGAAAGAAAAAACAATGGGATCAGTGATGTTAATTTTGAAATATTGGTAAAATATGTTCCGAGGTTTTTCTTTTATCTAGGTACTATTGTAGTACCTCCTTGGTACCTGATCCAACCTGAGATGTTTTGCAGGTCAATGTTTGCTCTGCTTCAGTTTGTATTGTTTAATGAACGTTTGAGTTTGAATACTGTTCTTATTCACAAAATATTTCTTAGTAATTTTAACACTATGAAAAGTGATTCTGTCTTTCGATATATCTGTACACGCATAACCTGTTGTCCTCAATAGATCCAACCCACAGACGATGAGATTTTTCGTCATAACTCATACCCCAAGGACCCCTTATACCGTGTTCTGTTGTCAATAACAAGCAAAGAAATATGCCATCCTTGTCAATCATATGCACTGTGCTTGAGCTTTGGTTAGCTATGAGGATGTTTGACAGTGCATCTGTACAAATATCAGTTGCTTCCAGTTTCAGTCGGGGGTCATTTTTTGATCCATAGTAAGTAAAGCGATTACTTCCATTTTGATCTGTCACAACTAGACGTGATGATGGCCCAAGAAGGATATCATGAATCAGGTCAAAAACAATAATATCCCCGTTTCTGTTTTCTGTGATACACTCAGGGTCAATATAAAGATTATTACCCTTGGCATCAAACTGGACGGTCTGTGTTTCTTCTAATCCATTGAATCTGACAATTTTTGCCTCTACATCATCAACTGGAGGTGACGGGATATATTTTTTCATCAAAACAAGCATATCTCCAGATAACTGAGAACAGTAAATTTCCTGCGGAATCCATGATTCAGATTTATGCATTAATTTAGTGTAATTTTAGTTTTGTAATTCTTACATAGTTTACAGATATTTAAATCTAAATCTATGTAAATGAGTTCTCCGGCAAGACTCACTGTGTGGGAACCAGGACTCAGGTTTTGTTCATCTGTCCGATGGTCTAACGTGTTACCATCTGAGTCGATAAGGAAAAGATTTGTGCTACCACCACTTACCCACATTCGGTCTGACGTCACAAAAGAAATATGACCACAACAAGTGCCCTGAAAAGTGACAGTTTTCTGTAACACCGGTCTAGGCATCAGTTTCAGGAGTCGTTCATTTTCCACTCGTCGTTTTCTAGTCTTGCTAAGTTGAATTTTCCCGCGAAACAAACTTGCATCTTCTGCATAGATTTTACTTAACACGCAAAAGAAAAAAATTTAAAGCATGAAAAAAAGGATTTATAAAGGCCAACATTGATTATGTAACAAATGAGTAGAGGCAACGCGGTCGTCTGAAAACAAAGGCGGAATCAGGAGTCAATTTAATGAGAAGTTAACATCCCCTGTCAACTGGTCACATAAACCTTTTGCTCCTTGGTGTGATCAGGTAAACGCAAAAATTAGTAACGTTAGGACCTCACAAATTGAATCTAGACGTCAGTCGAGACTCCTTTAAACGACTTATTGTATATGTCATTGCATCGATCATATATACATAGTATATACCATTTGAAAAATTTTATCTTTAAACAATGCATTTTATATTCCTGTATCATCACTTATTTTGTCAAAATTTCCCTTGTTTAAGAAAGTATTGAGTTTGTTCATAAAGCATTTAAACATGCAATTTCATCACGGTCGAATCGACCACGAGACATATAAACTCCATGCAGACTAAAATAGCATATGCAAAATAGATAAGGGATCGAATTGTCAAAAGAAAAGATGCAATCACTTAATAAATCTTAAAATTTATTTATTTTCTGATGCTATATAATATCGTCTTTCTCAAGTTGAATATTCAAATATGAAACAGATGTGTCACTCTCTGTGGTGGCTCTCATTTCGAATTCAATGGGGTATATCAACGTAGCATAGGAAAGCTTTTATTATTCGGTATTTATAAGACATGTATTTCAATAAACATTCCGATAAGAAAAGTACGAAGAAATTTTAAAGGGAAATGTCTATTTTATTTTTAGAGGTCTTTACAATTTTCATATGGGCGCAAGTTTTCGGCAATAAAGATGAAAAGTTTTAAGTTAACATTTTCATTGTTTTACAATTTTTGTCATAAATCATTCAAGAAGTGCACCAATTGGGGAAGCTGTGTTCACTGTAAAGTTTCGAGCATGCATTTGTATAAATTTCAAGACATAGCCATTTTGAATTTCCCTTTAAACGATATATGTTTAAACTTAAACTTATACTTAGACAAAGGATCTCCATTCTAAGTATATTAGCTCGATTCCCACATCGCATATCATTATCATCATGGATTATTCTTTACATTTCATTAAGTTGGTAAGTATTATACTTACCTTATCTCACCAGTGTTGTAACGAGATAGGTTTCATAGTTTTTATTTATCTGAGAAACGTCACCACAGGTATTTTGAATGACAATTAGCTAGATCGATCAATGTAAAAAAAAGTTTAAATTTAAAGTCTACATGATTCGGATCATAGGCTGTACTATAGACGGATCATTAATGTTTTTCTCTGCCCATTTAGACAGGCAATATGATATATATTTTTGTTGCACATAATTTAATTAATTAAATGATTGTATGTTGTTTTACGTTCTCTTGTAAAGAACCCACATGTTAACTTTCACTTTAATGCAGTGATTCAAAAACCAAGAGAAAAGTTACTGGATCTGTTACACAAGAGACATCCTGTGGTAGTCCGGCCGAAGAGCACAGAAGAATTAAACTGTCTACTTATAATGTCTGAGACTAGATAAAGTCATTCTTGGAATATTTCACCAAATAACGGGAAATTATGAGGCTGCTTTGAATGCATATCAACAATCTCTCTCAGTGAATCTCTTACACAAAATTCAGGCCATCCAAATCCGAACAGAAGATTTAATAGTCAATATAAATCACAACAGAATAATAAGGATGATGTTATATCTTTAGATTTTCCCGTTTTCCCGATCTTCACAAGCAAAATGCAGAGTCCCCATTATGTGGTCATCAAAAACTATATACTTATGCACTTTTCCATTGTTTAAACATCCATCCCTGCGGATCCCATGGAGAAAGAACCACTACCTTTGGATCTTCAGATTCTACCTGAACCTGGTTTCATGATGAGAAGATATTTACTACTAAAATGTTGTACTAAAAAAGGCTTAAAAGCTTCAGTCAAATACATGTAAGTCGATATTTCAGGGTTGTTTATAAGAGAAAGCATCTCGAATATTATATGACTTTGTTTGCAACTGCAACATATATAATTAGATTGTAATGTTGTTACACGAATTGACACTCCCGGGACCGTTTTACATAAACAGTGTAGAACTTACGAGTAAGAGCAGTATTCAATTATACTTGTATCCTTTTAATTTACTTTATATTGGAATCAGTATTTATCTTTTTCAAAAGAATATAGAATGTATAATGTAGTATATTCTTTTTAATGCTATCAATATTAAACAAAATCATTTATTTTACAAAACTTTACAATTAATCAATTCAAGTTTTCGGTCTTAGTCATTCGTTTTTTTTTAAATGAAAAAGAGCTTCTGATCAACAAAGATGTTTTGCTTTGAATATCCCTGACAAAATTACTATAATACATGTGTATTTCATAGTAATTTTAAACGTTATACAGAGTGATTCTGTCTTTCGATATATCTGTACACACACAACCTGTTGTCGTTAATAGATCCAACCCACAGAAGATGAGATTTATCGTCGTAACTGAGACCCCATGGACCACTTAAACCGTGTTCCGTTGTCAGTAGCAAGGAAAGGAATTTGCCATCTTTGTTAATCATATGCACTGTGCTAGGATTTTGGTTAGCTATAAGGATGTTTGACAGTGCATCTGTACAAACCCCCCACATGTCTAGTTCCAGTCGGGGCTCGTATTGTGATCCATAGTAGCTGAAGCAATATCTTCCATTTCGGTCTATCACAACTAGAAATGATCGTTCAAAACTAAGATAGCTTAACCTATCGGAAACAATAATATCTCCGTTTCGGTTCTCTGTGATAAGTTCAGGGTCATAATAAAGTAGACAACCCTTGTCATCAAACTGGAAGGTTTGGTCCTTTTCTTTTATTCCCTTGAATCTAATCACTTTACTCTCTTTATAATAGGGAGCAAATAACTGGCTGTACTGGGGGTCTTTTTTCATTAAAACGAGCAAATTTCCGGAGAATTGAGAGCAAAAGATTTCGGACGGTTCCCAAAATTCAGATTTTTTCGTCAGTGTTATTTTTGTTTTGTTATCCTTACAAAGTAAACATAAATTAGAATCCAAGTCGATGTAAATGAGTTCTCCAGCAAGGCTTACTGTTTGTGAACTAATACTTTGATTATCTGTTCGATGATGTAAAATGTTACCAGTAGAGTCAATCAGAAAGAGATCAATGCCGCTGTAACCGTGAAAACTGTCGCTAGTGCTCAGTGTCGCTCTTAATAGAATATATAGGGAAAAGAGCGACACTGAGCACTGGCTTATGCGCATGCCTAGGGATTTCGGTCGCTTCAAATCGAAGCGGTGTCCCACTGAATTTAATTCCATGGTAATAGTATCCAAAGTCGTAGATCTTTATGTTTTCTTTGTTTATTTTAATCTTAAAAGAAGGCAAGACAAATAAAATTTTAAAATTTTAGAACTTTTTTTTTTTTTTACCTCGTATAGAATTATTAAATGATCTTTTAAATTTCTATATTATAGAGAATAAACGGCTACACATTTAATCGCGGTAAATTGAACAGATACTTGTATTTAAAAAAAGAAGAGAAAACATGCCACAGTCCCTCAGTCATTTCTTAATAGGTGTGAACCACGCCGTGGGCTTATCTCAGACAGGTGTCAAAAATTACCTGTATGTTAATAACTAACAAACACAGCTCTCCATGGTCGATTGATAATTTGATACCAATTAAAGGTGTGAACGGAGGTGAACCTAGAACTGAAGTCTAGTAACAAACCTTAAATATCTGTATTTTATCAAAATATAA